ACCAGCTTGTTCTAGCAAATCTGCTACGGTAGAAGAATATAATATATTTATACAAGAAGCCGAAACGTTCGATACATTAGCAATGGTAAAATTATCAAAATTACAAAACATGCAAAAATATTCATAAGTATGTTTCGACAACGCCACCAAAACATAATGTATATGAATGTATAATACGACAAAATGATAATTTAATAAAACTCAAGAAGGATGGATCTGAATTTTGGAATACACCTTGTGGATGGGTTTCTCAAAAGTAAATATTGGATACAACGGAGAGAGGATTTTAACTTGATTACAGAACTAGAAATAAGATTGCCACATAAAAGGTACCACTTGCGATTCCAGTGGCGTGTACGGAAGAAACTGTAACACCATTAGTGAGTTTGGCCATTTCCAAGAATTCCTGTTAAATGGCTATGAAAAACATTAAAAAGAAGAAATAGTTCTGACTTTGTCCCTCCGTGTTTCATGCTGATTGGTAATCATTAACAAATTAATTGTAACGCCACTAGTGATTTTTTTTATTTACTAGGATTTTTGAGTCCCTTAACATATCCTAGACTAAGCAGTTATGTGGCTAGGAAAATGAAAAACATTAAAAAGAATTAATGTGTTGAAACTGAGTGAAAACATTGTACCGCGATTTTATGCTTATTGGCAATCGTTTATGCTTGCTGTCTAGGTTGGACAACGAACGGAAGCAGGGCAAAGGCTGTGATTTTTTTAATGAGATGAGATAAATCGTTAGTTTTAGCAATCATTATATCACTTTTCAACAGAGCTTATTAGAAATCAACGCAAAAAATAATAAATTCAGTTTTTTGTGAAAAATCTCTTCCATCCCTCAACGCGGTAAAAAAACTGAGGGTGTATTTCATTATTCATTTTATTGTAAAAACTATTTCAATCCATGTAGAATAGAAACACAATAGAATCCTCACCACCTACAAGTGCAGAACCTATTGCGTTTAGCCGCTTAACAAAATCAATAGTTCTTTTGGCAAAAAAACTCATGCAACAGTGAAGCTTTGAATGATTTGATTAGATTCCGGAATGATTCGTAAGTCATATATTACATGTCCACAAAAAATTGATAAATCGAATTAAAAGTGGAAAATAGATAATAGTACGAAAAAACTAAAAAAAATACGCTTTTACAGCTAACCTATCTAAAAAGTAGAAAATAATGTTTAATTTCAAAGAGTTTATATTACAGTAAAATAAAATTTAAGTTATTGACAGAATAATTCAATTCAGAGTAAATAGCGAGGGGTGCTGGATATATTAAATGTTACAATCATTCTATTGGCAACAACAAAATGTAGTAAAATGCACCCCACGCTGTTAATAACTTAAATTTTATTATAATTTTATTTTGAGGTCATTAATCATGATTGATTGTTCGACCATCTACTACTGTAATATAAACTCTTTGTAATTAAAAATGATTTTCTACTTTTTAGTTCGGTTAGCTATAAAAGCGTGTTTTTAAGGCTTTTTTAAACTATTATTTATTAGATTCAAGATTGCAGGTATGCCCCTTAGCGGCCATTCCAGAAATTTGAGAATATTTTCCAAGTTTTTCTCTTGACCGCAAGTCTCTAAGATGGATATGTTCCCAGATACAGTACCCCGCATTCTTAGATGGACGACGTTACATGTGAGGTGCAGAGTAAACCTACTTGATGCCATTTTCATCATCATGTCTCAGTAAGCAAACATTTGCGGTCGACTATTGGACCAATATTATTAAAATTGAGCATCTGAAAACTATAGGCGAGGATATAGCGGAACCATTGACATAAATACTTAATCTATGTTTTGAATCTGGTATACTTCGAAGTTGAGTCATTTATTTTAACAGTGAGTAGATCTGATCAAAAGAAATGTTTTTTTCCTTTACCATTTTTCTGGTAAAATTAAAGTAACAAAGTTATGGCCCTTTGGAAGTTTGAGTACCGCCCTGTCTCAATAATAATATTATGTGCTCGTGTTTGGCAACAACGGATATAATCCGCCTTATCGGTTCATCGCATCGGAAACAAAAAAGCGAAAGAATTTGGAACGATGTTTATACAATTATTTTATTCAGTTGTGTACAGTCAGTGTCAGTCGGTAACGCGTGAGTGAATAGTGGTGTCTGCTGCGTGGCTCAAGTGAAATCAAAAATGGCACATGTTTACGAAAATGCTGAACTTGTGGACATGATTCTTATTTACGCGGCATCACGGATTTATGCGGATCGGTTTCCCAATCGAGTGCAACCAACCCCTCGTGCCTTTGTTAATGTAGTACAAAGGGCTTGTGAATCAGGTGACTTAAGACCTCACAGGGGAGGGCATGCCGGTGCTCCAAGACCGCACGATCAAATACAGGTCCGCACTGAAATACCTGTCGGGAGGATACTTTATAAAACAAGGTAACATTTTTTTTTAATTTTTTTTTTATTTTTACACACATATTTTGGTTTATCTTCCTTCTACAATCATTCTCTGAAAATTAATGACTCAACTTCAAAGTCACCCTGTATACTCCACCGTTTTAAAAAAAAGGATCTACATTAACTTGCCCTAAAACCCCCACTTCTATTGCTTCGTTTCTTATGGGATTTTCAATGCTCCGTTTTTTATTGGCGACTGACCCAGTTTCCCGCATTTAACTACAAGTTCTAGAACATATTTTCCATGCACGTTACTGTTCTCATGTTGCTCATTAAATATTTCTGCTTTTCTATTAGCGCACTGATTATTTCCGAAAAATATTTCGATAATTTCAACTCTTTCTGCTGTGGAATATACCATGGTTAATTTATGTAATAAAGCGTTACAAGTTATTTTAGCAACAAAGTTTGGTCAAATCAATCACAAACTATGTACTGAATGCCTATTTAAAATAAGTACGAGATATTTCCTTATTCTTCTTCAACTTTTCTGCCACAAAAAACGCTCCAATAGCTATTTTTAACAACAGAATGATAAACAAACCATGGGCGTAGCGAAGAAAAGCATTTACTTATTAAGTAAATTCTTTTAGTCAAATTTCTTCTGAAAGTAGTACAGACTAATCTGATGTACCTATTAAAGTCTACTTTAATCTTTAAATCAATAAATCTTCAAAACTACTGAACTGAAGTACATTAATTTTATATCATTATAAAGGGAATTGGAAGACCTTTAAAATAAGGTATCACTCGACCCCCATTTCCATTTAAGATTTTAGGGTTGGTGTCACCCCCGCCCAGGGGCTGATTTTTTGCCAAGCTTGTGTCCCCCTCGAAAACATATTCGACGGGTCTGTGAGTTTTTCCAAAAAAAACTGAGCTGACAGTAAATGCGTCTGTTTCGTTTCGATGCGCCACCCTGTATATACATTCACCTGACGATATAAAGGATCTACGCTTTGGAAATGAGTTCCAGAAAAAGTTAAAAGAATGTAGTTTTTCTTTGGCAAGGACAGTCGTATACAAATTAATAATAATAAATGTGATCAAATAATTCGTTGATTAGTTGTATCTCTATCCATATCTCAGTAATATAGTTGCAACATCTATGGTCCAATGACAGGCAATGCCACCTATGGGTCGTTACTTCATACTGATTTAATCATTCTTTGTATTGTGTTTCAAGAGTAAATAAATATTATTATTATACAGGGTGTCTCTTACATGAACCGACAAAAAAATATGGGTAACTGGGGATGCTATTTGATGATTTTTGGTGGAAACCGTAATGCTCTAACGACTACGGTTCCCGAGATATGATTTTTTTCGTTTTTTTTTGCTGAATTACCTACAATGGCGCAGAACTATCGTGATAACTTTTTTGTTTGTCGAGATAATAACACAAGATAAATTCGAGTCGATTCTGTATAGCATACAGATTAGATTAAGGTTTGTACAAAGCTTCTCTATAAAATGACTTTTGACCTTCCAAAGTCGTAAAATAGCGCGGAGTGAATAAACAACTTTAAATTCAAAATTCGATTACAAAAAAACTATAGCTCTGATGATAATTAGTTTTATTCCAAAAAGTTCCGTGTTTTTTTGCCTTTCCAACGATATGCTACGCATCATATAAATAATTTGTTTAGTGGTCTAAATTACAGGAAACAGTGTGTCGAGCTAATAATTTTTTGTGCGATTTATACATCTTTATGTAATTTGAATCAGGCTTTTCGAAATGACTGCCTCCACTTTTTGACAATAATGAGGTTAGCAAGGGCCAAGCAGTACACAGATTAGGAATATCTCTTAAGGTGAGTGTCCACAAGGAGACTGAAATCTCTTGAGATTTTTGTCTTATGAGAAATTTATTTCAGATATGGTTCCACAGAATATGAGATATTTCTCTGAAATACTTGAGTTTATGCGACTCGAGAGTTTACTCTCACACGAGACAAGGTGTCTCTGACAGCACTGTTTCCACAGTTAATAATCTGTAACTTAAACATCCAAAGATTGGTTCTTTCATTGTTAAATTATTGTATGTTGTGGAGTGATTTTCAAGATGGTAACTAAAAAGGATAAAAGAAAAGCTGCCGCTTGTTATTATTACTTAACCGTTAAGCCCCGTCGTAGAAATAGGAGGACTCATAGATATTGGGTGAGAGATTGGATTAAAAGAAGGTCAAATAAGAATATAATGGAAACATTATTGGAAGAACGGGAAGATCCGGAATGTTACAAAAACTTTCTTCGAATGTCCGCCGCTGATTTTAAATATTTGTTGGATAAAATAAAATTTGCAATAGAAGAACAAAACACACATATGCGAAATGCGATTCCAGCAGCTGAAAGGTTAGCTATTACTCTTCGTTTCTTAGCTACAGGTAAGTACATTGTAATTCCTTTGCTTCCAGTATGAAGAAACAAACATTTTTTAGGAGACAGCTACCACTCGCTGATGTATTTATTTCGCATACCTGTGTGTACTATTTCACGAATTGTGTGCGCTGCAATTTACAACGTGCTGAAAGAAGAATATCTACAAGTAAGTCTGTGAAGCTTTGTTTTATTAAACCATTACTTTACATTTTGAAGTAATTAGATGTACATGACTCGTAATATTGGGAAAGAGTTAAATCATCACCATCATTATTTGGAATTTCATTATTGAGCGGTGTCTGTTCTATGGACTGATTTATGATTATCTGTTTATTTATGGGTTGCTGTTGTGATGTTACTGTATTTTGCTATAATTGGAGCTCATAGTCATCGTTCATTTTCAAGATAATACGCTGAATTTCTCGCTTCGCCCAGGACTGCAGCTTTGGAGCTTTCGAACTCATAACCCGCAGTTCGTCAGCCACATAATCCCCAAAGACTTCAAAGGAGTCTGCTGAGTGTGATAGAACATTGATGCATTTGTCAAGTACAACTTGTTCCTCTTGGTCTTTCTTTTTGTTTAATTTTGGTTGTACCGAGGAAGATCTTGATGAACTCGGTGTGACATCATGTGATGTTTGAAGCGGCGTATTAGAACGTGATGTGCTTGGAGTTTGTGAATTGTTTCCTTCAGTTATAACACCTTGAATATGAGATTCGCTACTCTCAGAATTTTCGTCTAGGTCATCTCTTAGGACAGTAGGTGGTTCGTTAGTCTAAAAGCAAATAATATCCAAGCTAATATGCATAATAATTAACCATAGTTATTAAACAAGGAAATATACATAAATTTTGTTACAGATGCCTTGCACCGAGGAAGAATGGCTGCAAAAGTCCCAACAGTTCGCAGAAAAGTATAATTTCCCACATTGTATCGGCGCACTGGATGGCAAACACGTTCTTATTAAAGCACCTAAGCAACGTGGAAGCTTGTACTACAATTACAAAGGCACCCACAGTGTTGTACTTATGGCACTGGCTGACGCAGAATATAAATTTCAATACATTAATGTCAGTTGTTTTGGACGAATTTCTGATGGGGGTGTTTTTAATGCGTGCTCTCTATCAAATAAACTGGCTGATAACAGTTTAGGTATTCCAACACCTAGACCACTACCAGGTAGAACTAAACCAGTTCCCTTTGTCATAGTAGCAGACGACGCTTTTGCCATGAAGTCTTACATTATGAAACCATATGCATTTAGAAATCTGCATGGTGAACAAAGAATATTTAACTACCGACTATCACGGGCACGCCGAATAATTGAGAATGCTTTTGGTTTAGCTTCTGCTAGATTTCGCATTTTAAGAAGACCGATTGAACTAGGAGTAGAAAAATTGATCCATGTTGTTTCTGCAATATGTGTGCTACATAATTTCTTAATGACACGGTCTAAACGACTTTACGCTCCTTATGGTAGTTTTGATGTGGAAAATCACGAAACTGGCACTATAGAACCAGGAGAATGGAGACAATCAACTCAAGGCCTGGTGGATCTGCATGTTAACCCACATCTTCGGGGAAATTTGGAAGCGAAAGATGTACAACGGGAATTTACAGAATATTTTCACCAGAAAGGAGAAGTTTCATGGCAATATAAATATATTTAGAATATTTATTATTAAACTTACCAATGAATCAGGTATTGTTCTTTCATTAATATTGGTTGGACCGTCTATGAATTTTAAGGCATCATAAAATTCCCATTTAACCTCAAAATTGTCTCCCGCTGCCTGGCCACTTTTGGTATTTTTGCGTTTTCTGTTTATGGTTTGAAATTGACAACGTAGGTTATGTATTTTTTCCTTAACGTCGTGAGCCGAAACTCCCAACTTGCTTGCAATTTCATCCATAGCTGATTTCCTCAGATTTCGGTTTTTGTACCTTTCGGAAGAGCAGTCCCACAAATTGGAATGGGATTCATACAATTCTATTAACTGCCGTATCATGGTTCTTGTCCAGTTAACATTACAATCTTTTCTTTTAACACCCCTTTGTTCACTAGGTTCACTCATTTTTATTATTTTTATATCACGACACAATAGTTTGACTCACGTGCAGCATATGAAATAAATATTTCATGCGAAATTCGCAATGTATCGTCTTTACACGTTGAGACTTGTTTATGAAATTAAAGTCTCATGACACATTCTCTCACGAGATTATCTCTAGTATATCACGTGTCTCAGGTCTGTTTCCACAATGAAAATAAATGTTTCTTGATTTTTTTGTTTCATGAGACACAAATCTCATGAAATATTCTCATTGTGGATTCGCACCTTTACGCAGGTGGATTTGAAGTTAATGACATCCGATACCTGGATTACCATAATGCGTCTTAGGGTATTAATGACAACTACCATTAATGTCTATTCCCATAACCTAACAGGTATGTATTCCAAGTATCGCAGCTCACTAATTATAGATAAACTTGCACGTGTTGGATTTCTGAGCTTGCCTCATAATTACATTTCAATTACGATCCTCATCATCTCATAGATAAAAGAGTGCATTACGAAATTAGGGCTAGTCGAGCTTTTACTATATCGCATACCAGAAGTGTATATTTGCGTTTGATTTTGTTGTCTCTGTTTTTGTATTATTGTTAGTTTTTTTCACCGTCATTATCAAGTTTCATTGTTGTCGTAATGCCGATGTTCAGTAACGAGGAATATGCTGATATGTTGCTGGCTTATGGCAGTGCTAACTGCAATCCATATGAAGCGCAAAGACTTTACCAGCAGCGATACCCTGATCGGCAGTTACCTCACCATGGGTCCTTCGCAACAACATATCGGCGACTGAGAGAGACTGGGAGCGTGAATTTTCAAGAGCCTAGAGTGAACTCAGTGTGACTACTGATGAGCAAATCCTAAGAGCATATGATGCAGCTCCTACCACAAGTATTCGGGTTGTGGCTGAAAGACTTGCTGTGTCGGTGAGAAAGTCTGGTCTGTGCTACAGGCAAACAGGACATATCCATTTCATGATTGTCCTGTACAAGGTAATGTAATTTCAAGTTTTGTCAGGTTTATGCAACATTTTAATAATCATTGTCATAATCACAGTCACAAGCATAAGAGTTGAAATCCTTATTTCTTATGAACACGTGTATACAGCTTGTCAAAGTGATAGTCATAAAATAGTCTATGATTATAAAAATTAGCCCTTGTGAAGTTTGACACATGTGCAGTTGTGCTAACGGTATGCGTATTTATGTTACAGGTCTGGACGAAGGTGACAGTACGAGAAGGCAGGAGTTCTGCAGATTCATTCTTCACACGGACGTGGACGAGGGTAGCTTTTTGAAGAGGATCTTGTGGACAGACGAGTCCAGCTTCAACCATGACGGAATCGTGCATTTTCAAAATCGACACTATTGGGCAGACCGGGACCAGAACCCACATAAGAAATGACAGTGCACATTTCAAAGACGATTCAGCGTCAACGTGTGAGCCGGCGTTATTGGACGGACTCTCGGAAAATTATCAGGAATTCCTGCAGACTGCGTTGCCTGATATGCTGCTACCAATTTTACCCGATGCACCAATTATTTTGCAGCATGATGGCTGCCCCGCACATTACGTCCAACCGGTTCGACCGTTTTTAGACAATGCGTTTCCAAACGCCTGGATTGGTAGGGGTGGTCCTATATCTTGGCCACCACGGTCTCCAGACCTGACACCTTTGGACTTTTACACCTGTTGCCGAGCGAAGGAATTGGTGTATTTGACAGAGGTGCCCAACAGAGAGATGCTAATCCAAAGGATTCAAGCTGCCTTTCGTCAGATGAAGGAAAAGATCCTGCGACACAATACAACCGTCGAAATATGAACAAGATATCGAGCATGTTAACATCAAATTAAAACGTGAAACATTGAAAAAATAAATTATTTATTCCTAAACCTAATCAGTTATTTTCTCGTCTATCGACCGCAAAACATCTTATTTCTATGATGTCTAGTATCTCGTTGTAAAGGCAATAAACTACAGAACTTTTGTGAATAAAACTAATTTTAAAAAAAGGTACAGGTTTTTTGTACTTGAATTTTGAATTTAAAATTGTTTATTCACTCTACGCTATCTTACGACTTTGGAAGGTCATAAGCTTTGTACACACCATTTATCTCATCTGATTCAGTAGGCTATACAGAATCGACTCGAATTTATCTTGTGTGATTATCTTGACAAACAAAAAAGTTATCACGATAGTTCTGCGTCATTGTACGAGCCCCTTCCCACTTCAGTTGGCTCAACTATTGAAATCTTAGTTTTTTTTCTTATCAAACACAAATAATAAAAATGTAGCAGGGTGTTATAGGTTTAAAATATTAACAATGAATATTTTGATAATATACAGGGTGTTCCATAATTATTGCGACAAAATGATAGAGGTTGTAGAGGGCATAAAAATATGCAATTTTGCCTTATAAACCCCTGTTCGTAAATATGCCGTTTGAGCACTACAGTTAATTTTACCTTAAGAGCTCATAGGAGAAACAAAAAATTCACCAGCTGCAAAATGTTCGTCTAGCACATTTCATGGTCTCACCGGTTTGTAAAAAAAGCCTGCTGTGTTTACATTTTTGTTATCGTACACCCGTACCACCTTTTAAAAGTCCAAGCCATGGGTCCAGCAGACTATCTGCCGCGTCGACGTTTTTGCCGTTGGTGGCTGCAGCAGGAGTTGAGGCAACCAAACTTTGGTCGCTCCGTTTTGTTCACTGACGAGTCCTGTTTTACAAAGGACGGTTATTTTAATAGCCATAACAGTCACATTTGGGATGAAGAAAACCCTCATGCCATAGCCATCCATAGAGACCAACATCAGTTTTCAATTAACATCTGGTGCGGCATTGTGGACGAGCATATCATCGGGCCATATCTGCTTCCACCACGTTTGGATGGGCATGCTTATGGTCGATCTTTACAGCATGTGCTACCGGAACTATTACAAAATGTGCCACTGAATATAAGAGCCAACATGTGGTTTCAACACCATGGCGGTCCAGCCCACTTTTCTTTACAAGTGCGGCAGTATTTGGACGACAAATTTCCAAATAGGTGGATAGGCCGAGGTGGCCCTGTGCCTTGGCCTGCGCGGTCACTTGACCTGACCCCACTGGATTATTTTATCTGGAGCTATCTGGAAGCTTTAGTGTACGAAACTCCTGTTCCCAACCAACAAGAGCTACTGGGAAGAGTGATGGCCGCGTCCGCACATGTTCAGGACATACCGGGGGTATGCCACAGAGTTCGCCGATCATTGAACAATCGTGCACAGCTGTGTATTGAGCAAGGTGGAGGACACTTTGAGCAATTACTGTAGGTAAGCTGTTTCAAGAAACTGATCTTTTTTTTTTGCTGCAGCCCAAACGGCATATTTCCGAACAGGGGTTTATAAGGAAAAATTGTTCATTTTGATGCCCTCTACAACCCCTATCATTTTGTCGCAATAATTATGGAACACCCTGTATAGTAGAAAACACGCAACTTTATTACTCCCTAATCAAATTTGCAGCATAAAAATAACACATGTTGCAATTACAGCATATCAACCTATTTTCATTTCAATGCAAAATAAGTCTATAACGCATAGGTGGCTGTGAAAAATAAAAGCCATGACAATTTTTTTTATTAATCACAGCTGTCAGAATACGTTTAAAATAGTTTTGGGTAGTTAAGGTTTTCAAAATGGGTAGAGGAAAGGTTATTAGTGAGAAAATTCGGTTACTGATAATTAAATTTTTTAATTCTGGGAAATCAAACTCAGAAATTGCAACTTTGTTGGACTTATCGCGGTACAGTGTGAGAAATATTGTTAGAAGATATAACGTAACTGGTTTATTTAATATTAAGCCACGATATGTGAAAAACAGTAATATCACAAATGCCGACCGAAGAGCATTAAGAAGAATAGTCGTGAAAAACAGGCGTGCCAATTATTTACAATTAAGTGCTCTGTGGAGTGACGCTGTTGGAAGGAGAATTTCGAGGTCCACAACTCATAGAGAGGCCCACAAACTGGGATTTAGCACTTGCAAGGTAAGTTTTCTTATAAAAAAAAAGTGAAGTAGAAACCCTAAAGTTGCACAACTTGTGTCTAGGCCAAAGAAAAAAAGAAAAATTGGCTTAGTTGGGCTAAAGAACATAGACAATCGACATCTCAACAATGGTGTGCAATACAATGGAGTGATGAGGCCCATTCCATGTTGACTGTCTGAAGAGAAAAGTGAAATTTCCAGCATCAATTATGGTCTGGGGCAGTAAGTCATCAAAAGGAGTAGGAAAACTTCATTTTATTGATGGAAATGTGGATACAAACAAATATTTGGCAATTTTAGAAGAATCGCTTTTACCAGTGATGGAAGAATGTTTGACATCCGTCCAAGATTTTGTGTTTCAGCAAGATGGTGCAGCGGGCCATACCTCAAAAAAGGCTACAAAATGGATTGAAGAAAATAATGTACCACTTTTGAAATGGGTTTCTAGCAGTCCAGATCTGTCACCTATAGAAACTTTGTGGCACGAGATAAAAAAGGTTCTACGACAACATTCTGCTCGTACAATCACCGAACTGAGACAAAAGCTTCAAGAAACATGGGATTGTTTTACACCAAATTTTTGCTAAAACTTGGTTAACAATATGCCCCAAAGAATTTCAGCCGTAATAAAAAATAAAGGTTATGTTACCCAATGGTAATCTTTCAATTGTTGCTTTGTTAACTTCGCGCATTTATTCGCACATTGTTTATTTGTTCAGATGTTCTATTAGTTATAGGTCTAAGTGATTTCAAATATGTATTTTTTACGACTAGAGTGTATCTAAAATGTTTTTGAGAAAATAAATTGTTTTAGAAGTAAATAGTTTCATCATGTTTAGTTTATAAAGGCATATTTTGGTACAAATCTTGAAGTGGGAAGAGGCTCGTAGGTAATTCAGCAAAAAAAAAACGAAAAAAATCTTTTCTCGGAAACCGTAGCCCTTAGAGCATTACGGTTTCCACCAAAAATCATCAAATACCGTCCCCAATTACCCATATTTTTTTGTCGGTTCATATAAGAAATATTTCGTCCTAATTAAGTGTCCTTAAATCACCCTGTAGGGAGTACAGAGTCAACCTACGAGTGGGTATTTTTTCTTCCAAGTCAAGAGAGCATTTAGACCCGGCGTGCTCGGCAACCTTGTCGCGCTCCGCATGACGCAACGCTGCTACCAGCCCCCTGCAAATCTGAGGTACGTTTCGGTCCAGCTCAGTTGCTCCTTCAAAGCTCACGAAGTTTCTGGTTCGCGGGCGTGCATCTGCAGAATTATCAGCAGCAAGGGTAGCCGGGAGAGGTCCTGCAGCCGCGCGCATCCAGCCTCCCGATCGATTTGCGCGCGTTGCAGGAGGCCACATGAGAAACTTAGCGCTTTGGAACGATACTGCCGGCCAAGCATCGTAAATACCGTGCCGTTAAAATGGCAGTCCGCACATCGTCGCGAGTGCCGCCTCGGAAGACGGCCAGCGCCAGCAGCTAGTACCGAAGTAGATCGCTTCCAAAGTGTCGTGTCCCCTTTTGTGACGCGATACCGCCGACATACACATCATCTCATCCGCACTGTCCTTAGCACCTCCTAGACTATGACGGCTAAGTCTGGGGGGCTCTTCGCCGACACGTGAGAACAATTTCTCTGAATTAGGATGCCCTGGAACGAGCGAATGTCCTCCGTACTGCTGCTTTTCGCCTCTCTTCTCGCCATCATGATTCCAGGTACTTAAATAAAGCAACAGTGACTTCTCCAAATGTCCCCCCCTCACACACACGCACCATTATAGCAATAAAACACTTATCTAGGTCAACAAAGCTTGGAAAGCATACATACCACATCCGTCACTGATCTAACTTTTTAATCAATTCACCAACTATTCTAAATTCATGGTGCAAGGGTAGTTCAAAACGGCGCTTAGTCTCTGAGATGTTACTATCGGTGCTCTTTTATTACATTTTAGTGGAAGCTAGATGCCGACAAACATTTCGTCCAAATCTTCTGTAATCACGGTACTGTTATTATAAGCTTCACAACTGTTTAACAAAAAATGAGACAATGATGACATCTCCAAACTTCCTAATACACACATTATGGCGACAAAACACTTATCTAGGTCAACAAAGCTTGGCGAGCATACATACCACCTTCGTTACTGATCTAACATTTGAATTAATTCAGCAAGTATCCTAATTTATGATGTGTCGATGTTTAACGATACAGTTCAGAACGGTACTTCGACTCTGAGATGTTACTATAAGTGCTTTTTTATTAAATTGTAGTAGAAGCTAGATCTCAGCCATCATTTCATCCTAACCTACTGTAAGCATGATACTATTATTATAAGCTTTATAACTTGTTAAGTGATCATTGTATTCTCTACATCATGACGGCTAAGTCTATAAGGCCACACGTGAGAACAACTTATATATCAGTATATCCTGGAACGAGCGAAAATCCTCTAAACTGCTGTTTTTCTCCTCTATTCTCGTCAACATGATTCCAGGTACCTAACAAAAAATGAGACAATGATGACATCTCCAAACTTCCTAATGCACACCATTATGGCCAAAAGACACTTATCTAGGTCAACAAAACTTGGCGAGCATACATACCACCTTCGTCATTGATCTAACATTTTAATTAATTCAGCAACTATTCTAATTCATGATGCATCGGTAGTTGAGGAGGCCGTTCAAAACGGCGCTTGGCCTCTGAGATGTTACTATCGGTGCTCTTTTATTACATTTTAGTGGAAGCTAGGTGCCAACAAAAATTTCGTCCTAGCCTACTGTAATCATGGTACTATTATTATAAGCTTTACAACTCTTTAACTCAGGGCTCCTAACAAAAAATGAGACACTGATGACATCTGCAAACTTCCTAATAAACACCATCATGGACACAAAACACTTATCTAGGTCAACAAAGCTTGTCAAGCATTCATACCAGCTTCGTCACTAATCTAACGTTTGAATTAATTCAGCGACTATTCTAATTTATGATCCGTCGATGTTTAAAGAGATATTTCAGAACGCCTCTGAGATGTTACCATCAGTGGGTTTTTTATTAGATTGTAGTAGAAGCTAGATCTCAACAATCATTTCATCCTAACCTACTGTAAACATGCTGCTATTATTATAAGTTTTATAACTTGTTAACTGATCAGGGGTGCCATTAGGCCCGTATCGTCAGTCGTCCCTACAATTGTAGGGTGCGTTTATGGCCTCCTTGATTGTCATACTCCTTTCTATCCTTAAAAAATTTCTAGATTACACTTGTCCCGTGTCAGCGTCAGCGCTCTCCTATTGTGAAGATATGTTTTCTTTTTAAATTGTAGGAAATTTCAGGCTGATAAAACATGATATAACTCAAAAGCAAGCACAATTTGATTCAAATAGATGTTTGTGACACCTCAAAATAGAGTTCTGACACGGAGAAGTAGAAAACTGACAATCAAGGAGGCCATAAAGGCGCCCTACAATTGTAGGGACGACTGACGATACGGGCCTTAGTATTCTCTAGATCATGAAGCCTAAGTCTATAGGGCTTCCCGTCGACACGTGAGAACAGATCTCAACAATCATTTGATCCTAACCTACCGTATGTATGGTACTATTATTGTGAGCTTGAGAACAATTTCTCGGAACTTTGATCATCATGATTCTAATTACTATCTAAAAAGACCTGTCAACAATGTCTTCCTATACACTGTCTTGTCCAGACAACATTTATCTAGGTCAACAAAACTTAAAAAACATTCATAGCCAAAAACAAGCACGATATAAAAGTTAGGCACAGGGTAATGTCGCAGCGCAATGGCAGTCGGTCTTTCTGGACGCTGGCCAAGCAGATTGAAAAGAACTTCTCACACAGTAGCCTTCCACCACTTACGTGTCAGGATGGAACTATTGTACTCAACTCAAAGGCCAAGGCGGAAGTGCTAGCCAAGATCTTTGCTGCCCCCAACGCCCAAGTGCCGTCAATTCAAAGGGTTCCCTACACTATGCGGGAGGTAACATTCAGGCATAAGACCGTAAGACGAGTGCTCTTGTCGCTCGACATCAACAAAGCTTCTGGTCCGGACTTGATTCCTGCCATTGTACTGATGAAGTGTGCACCGGAGCTTGCTCCAGTTCTTTCGCGTCTCTTCCAGATATCTTATGAATCCGGCACCTTCCCAGAAAACTGCTTTCTGTTTTAAGTAAGGTGATGGAGAGGTGCATAAATCGCGAGCTTCTGGACTACCTCGAATGTCACGGCTTGATTAGCGACAGGCAGTATGGTTTCCAGCACCAACGATACACAGTGGACCTCCTAGCTTACGTCACTCAATTGTGGACTAAACTCATCCAGTCTTATGGTGAGGCTCATGTCGTTGCTCTTGACATCACGAAAGCGTTCGATCAGCTGTGGCACCCTGCCCTCTTAAGCAAACTTCCATCCTATGGCCTCCCAGAAAAGCTTAGATGGGTGGCTGACTTTATCTCTGGCCGCAAGATATCCGTCGTAATTGACGGGTTGTCATCCCACAACGTCAACGCGGGTGTTCCCCAGGGATCGGTCTTGGCTCCGACACTGTTTCTCTTACATATCAACGACCTCCTTTCCTGCACGATCAACCCAATCCACAGCTTCGCTGATGACAGTACTCTACATGCAGGAATTCAGAGTGACAAGCCGATTTCTGCCGCTGAGTTGGAAAAAAGAAGACTAGCGATGACTTCCTCTCTGACAAGAGACCTGGAGGCTATCACTGCTTGGGGACGCAACAATCTTGTACAGTTCAATTCTTCCAAAACGCAGTACTGTACTTTGACGAACAAAAAGCGTCCTAGCGCTCATCCGGTTTCGATGAACGGCCGAGTTCTGCCAAAGAGCCATTCATTTCGGCTGGTCGGAGTCCAGATCACCGAGAACCTGATCTGGCACGAACACATCTCGTCAATAACTACAGCTGCTGGGAAAAAGCTAGGCTATTTGTTTAGGGCTAACAAGTACTTTTCTACGCATGACCTTCTCACCCTATACAAGGCCCAGATAAGCCCTAGCCTCGACTATTCCTCACACGTTTGGGGTGCTGCCGCCCCGGCTACATTATCCATGCTCGATGCTGTCCAGAGGAGGGCGGTCCGACTGATCGATGACTCTTCTCTAACAGACAGTCTCGGGACTCTCTCGCACCGGCGGGCCGTCGGCGATCTAGCTCTTTTCTACTTTTACACCAACGGGCTTTGCTCCTCAGAGCTCTCTTCCATGATGCCGCCGCGCGATGTGCCTGCCAGACAGACCCGCCTGACTTTGGCGTCCCATCGTAACCGTGTCGAACTTCGTACATCCATAACCGGCCGATACGACCGCTCTTTTGTCCCGAGGGTGTCGAGATTGTGGAACAATCTACAAGAGGAAGCTTTTCCCAGTTCTATTAACCTTAGGCAGTTCAAAAATCGTATTAATAAAATTTCTTTGGGATAATCATAGCAGCCGCGGTGTTCCGACATTTAGGCCTGTGCGGCTGCTTCGATATAAAAAAAAATAGCACTTTCATCACTCATACAAGATTTGAATGAATGCTACACCTATCCTAATTTATGATGTATCAGTATTTAAGGATTCAGTTTAAAATCAGCCTTTGAATTCCGAGATGTCGCCGTCCGTGCATTCTCATTCTGGACGTCAAATAACGCTTAATTCTGGCGTTTCCAAAATATGAAGGCGGTCTCATCGCTGACACATGATGTTTTCTAAGTTAGGATTGTCCTCTGTACGAACCCAGCTCCTCTTCTCATTTATGACGCATTGGGATTCAAAGTTCCAATTGAAACACCACTGAGGTTCTGAGATGTTACTGTCAAAGCTTTTTCGCACATTGTAGTGGAAGCTAGACGTCAGCAATTATTTGTTTTCGCATCCATATTATGTGCATGAGCACTGTTTTTAGTATGTTTTGGAATACGTCGGCTAAGTCTCTGGTGTCCATGACTGACGTGATTGTTATACTGTGACACCAAGATTGAATCAGATTATCTCTTCCTCTCTAGATTGACGGAAAGCGATTCCTTCCGCTTTTGCACATCATTAGGCTACAACCCATATCAATGCTGTCAACACATTATAACAGCGTGCTACGCATGAAAGCACACTCCAAATACTCCATTTTAACAGTCAGTGTAACACTGATATGAGTTTTGAAACATATCCACATGTCTTTACTTTTGTTTCTGTAAATTGACGGACAAGCCTAAAGTGAATTCAGAACTCAACACCTCTTCATGTTGACACCCATTGGATATGCGAGGTAGGGACTGAAGGATATTTCGGACGTATAAATATTATGTAAAATCCACCTCTGTTAAGTAGTCGAACGTGCATTGCTTTGACTCATTTTTTGACTTCGTGACCTACCAGGCTCAATTACACATGTCGACCGTCCACAAGATGCAAGGTTATTGAGTCGATCAAACAGTGGACAAACTGATGTAGCACTCAGTCGTGCAAGATCTTTAGACGGTATTCGGATTGAAGAACTTGATTGATCTAAGTTAACAGGAAAAACCCCATGCAACAGTGAAGCTTTAAATGAAATGATTAGATCACGAAATGATTCGTAAGACATTGCAATACCACATGTCTACATAAACTAAAAAATGAAAAATAAATAATAGTTTAAAAAACGTAAAAAACACGCTTTTATAGCTAGTCCAACTAAAAAGTAGAAAATAATTCTTAATTATAAAGAATTTATATTACAGTAGTAGATGGTCGAACAATCAATCATAATTAATGACCTTAAAATAAAATTATAATAAAATTGAAGTTATTAACAGAGTAATTCAATTCAGAGTAAAAAGCGTGGGGTGCATGATACATTAAATGCTACAACCATTCTATTGCCAGCTATGTATGAGAAGAGAGTTATGCAAATGAAGCAAAATGCACCCCACACGTTTTATTCTGTTAATAACTTCAATTGTATTATATTTTTATTTTTAGGTCATTGAATATGATTGATTGTTCGACGATCTACTACTGTAATATAAACTCTTCGTAATTGTTCTTCTTTTCAGTTCGGTTAGCTATAAAAGCGTGTTTTTAGTTTTTTTAAACTATTATTTATTTTCCACAAAAACGAAGTATGATACGAAACGAGACATACACTGAGAACCTAATTTGTCTGACGACAGAGAAGTGTGTGTAGACACATATCTTAGAAAGAGACAGAAGGCGTCTGGATAGCGAAGGTCATTACCGCGTTTCCTGGCAACGCTGACGTGGCAATCTGCCGCGTTGCCGATATGTTACATCAGCTCCTTGAATTAAGATACATGTTGAAAATAATGGTTTTATTTTGAGCCTACACATTTTTGAATTCGGTCGAATCCTTCTACAGAAGGATAAAAAATCCAGGGCCGGACTCGATCTATTTAATTTTTTTTGTTTTCAATCAAAAATCGACAACTTTTAAGCTGAATATTCAAATGTACATAAAGGAATGAGTGGTAGCCAAATAGATTGATTGCGCCTTTTTCGTTTTCTTAGTTAGACATTTTTATTTATTCAAATATCCTATTTTTAGCATTTTATATATGACACAATACTCAAAATTTCAAGAGTTGTCAATTTAGTTTAATCAACAATTTCTCAAATAATGCTTGAAATTAAACTAAAGATGTCAAAATTCCAGTTTTTTGTATTTGCTTATACTTTGTGTGCAACGTTCTGTAAATTATACTCTGATGTTATTATTATTTTGCAGAAAAAACAATACATGATATAAATAACACTGATAAACGCAGGATTTGTGACATGACAATTTTTGGGTGTATCTTATGTATTTTGAGACCCTTAAATCAAATCTAAAAACAGAATACCCACAGATAATTCGGTAACATCTACTTTTATGAATTACAATACGTACCTGTCTATTCCTGTTTATTATATGCGAGCTCTATGTTTAGAGAGCATATTGCGTTTATTAGTAGACTAATAGTAGCTGAGTTAGTTACGTTTTCTGTGTTGAAGAGTACTGAGATGTTCTGAGTACTGTTAATTTTTGTTAAAACGGTGTGTTGTTTTTAGTTTATTGTGATCGAAACTAGCTTTATGGACAATGACTAGAAATTGTGTAAATAGTGCGAACAGTTTTTGTTATATGTGCGGAGAGCTAAATTTTAAATCCCAAAAACGTACTTTTACTCCCCTTGTGTTGAAAGCATATGAACTTTACTTTGGAATTAAATTTTGGCGACCAAGATAAATTATGGGCCCCTCATATATGTTGTAAGACTTGTGTAACGTTGTTAACAGGTTGGTTAAGAGGCGACAATCGAAAAATACCCTTTGCGGTACCGATGATTTGCAGAGAACGGAGAGACCATACTAACGATTGCTATTTTTGCTTCACAAATAATATTAAAGGTATTGGACCAAAATCGAAACATACTGTTAAGTATTGTAATTTACCATCAGCTTTGCGGCCCGTTAAGCATAGTGATAAACTTTCTGTCCCAGTTCCACCAGAATCATGGTCCTTGGATGAAAAAGTCGAATCCACCGATTCTGAAAGTGATGGTATAGAAAGCGTAAAACTTTCCGATACTTCGTTTGACCTGCCTGAATGTTCAACAGCGCCGCATTTGATCACACATGGCGAACTTAATGACTTAGTTCGAGAATTAAATCTGTTAAAATCCCAGTCAGAACTTTTAGCGTCAAGATTAAAAGGATGGAATCTTCTCCTCGGTGATTTTAACATTACTTTTTACCGAAAACGGCAACAAGACCTCACACACTATTTCCGTCAAGAAAGAGTTGATATATTACTCCGATGTCACAATTTGTTTGACGCGTTAGGCCAGAAACATGATCCAAATGATTGGCGCCTGTTGATTAATTCCTCTAAGCTTAGCTTAAAAGCGGTATTGGTACACAACGGTAATAAATATCCATTTGTACCTATAGCGCACGCAGTTCATATGAAGGAATCATATGAAAATATGTGAGTTCTGTTAGAGCATATCCGTTATAATGGACATGGATGGGCCATATGTATAGATTTAAAGGTAATAGCCCTTCTTCTTGAAATGCAACTGGGATATACCAAATATTGTTGTTTTCTTTGTGAATGGGACAGTCGTGCGCGAGATCGTCATTATGAACAGGAGTTGCCACTACGTCAGGCATTAACTCCGGGCCTCAAAAACATTGCTCATGACCCACTATATAATAATAACACTCGATGCTTTATTCAAAAGAATATACTTTCCGATTATTTATGAAAAACAATTTCAGTTAAATGGCTGCCGCGGCAAGCCTAAACCATGCTGAGGAGTAGCCAAAAAGTACGAAACAGTTGTCCATGGTAGGCTGTCTTTGGTCAGACGGACAAAATCAGAGCAAATTTGAACGATGCATTCCCGGATCTGTTTAGATGAACTTAAATTATGCTGACAACATTATGAAACACCCTATACCTCGAAACAAGTGCAAACACTGACTTCCGGAGAACACCCCAATCAGAAGTCAGCTCTCAGTTTGGCAACACCGGCCTTTATAACCCCCAGGCTACAGAAATTCCCCACTATAGACTAGAAACGTTTCTTCAAGCGCCCTACATATTCATTCTGAGTGAACACAAAAGACATCTGAGTCAATAAGCCGCCAGTACAGAATCTCCAGTAACAAACCTACATCAAGTAGTCATTGTCGCTTATATTCCACTGTTTGTACAATTCAAGGAAGAACTACAAAGAAAGGACATTGAATAATTTTGGAGTTGTTAGTTATTTTGCCGACCAACGATGTATTTGTCCTGTTCGGGTTGTTAAAGACAAAATAGTTCACATGGGAAAATTATACTAAGTAGCAACGAATTCTCAGATATTAGACCGTTAAGTTTGAGGAGAAAGAAGGTTCGGTCTATTCTCCCCGATAAGGTTCAAACTATATCTATACGTATTGCTTATGTAACGTATGTCCTAAAAATTTTGGCGCAAAATATTTACCGGATTTTTTTTTAATGAAGAAATTTATTTAAATACTAACTAGTTATCACAAATTACAACTCAATACTCAACTATACTATCGATTTATGTGGAGTGGCCCTTTCTGCTCTACCAGACCCAACTTTCTTGGAATGTGTGTCTCATGAGGTCCTGGACGGAATTCAGATCATTTCCCTCAGTTTTTTGTAAATTCGACGTCTTAATTGTTCTTTATCTTGGGCTCACCAGCCTCCATGATAAACCTTCCTAGACATGCAGCAAAGGGTATGTTGTGTCGTCGAATCCAGTTTTGGGTACCTCTTGAGTAATGACATGAAGCTAGGTCTGGTCAAAACATGATATGGCCATTAGCATGATGTTCGTGGACAAACGGAAGCCATTTGGAAAGGCTCTGAATATTCAAAGCTGCACCCATCACTCTTCCCACAAAAGGTTGGGATGCACTCCTGTTGAAATTGCGCACCAGACAAGGATTTTATCTGCAAATTTCGGTTTATGTTAGTATCTAACATTTTCATGGCATTCCTCTACATTGTCGTTTCCATTCATTTCAGAATTACTCAAATACTTTTCGTCATCTGAAATAATGCTCAAGCGACGCGGCGGTATGTACGGACTCATGACCCACATACACTGAAGATAGGATGTTGCGCTTGTGGGCGGAGCTTCGTGACGTCACCCAGAGAGTTGTCGGCTCGTGGTTACCAGTGGCACGATTGTCGCAACGTTACCGCAGTTCACGTGTATCGTGGTTAATACTATATAGTGCCTGTTCTATCAGTCATACATACTTTATATAGCCTGTGTGGTTGATAAATTGTTAAAAATGCGGTGTGCTGTTGTGGGATGTAATTCCGACAACCAATCTAAACGGAATCTTTACAAAGACCTAAAGTTCCACCCAAACTTTAGCAAAAATGGCTACATCATACAAAAAGAAAAATCAAAGTCAATGTAAAATGCGCTAGGGTTTGCTCGAAGCACTTTAGTGCAAGTGCCTATAAGGTCAATGTGAAACATACCATTTTGGGTTACACCCCTAAAAGATATCGTGCTCTAAAATATGATGCCCTTCCTATAGATGTGTCACTTACACCGCTAAGACGAATCCAACGACACCTCATATGTGAAAATCTATCAAGCCGTTTGAGCTGCAACCTACAAAATATGAATTACAAGGTTGAAATTTTTCATTAAAATCCACCATTTTGTTTTGTATAAAATTTTAATGTACCTATCGTCACTCGCACCGCTAAGACGAATCCAACGACACCTCATATGTGAAAATCTATCACGCCGTTTAAGCTGTAACCTATAAAATATGAATTACAAGGTTGAAATCTTTCATTAAAATCCACCATTTTGTTTTGTATAAAATTTTAATGTATCTAGCGTCACTCGCACCGCTAAGACGAATCCAACGACACTTCATATGTGAAAATCCGACCAGCCGTTTGGCCTGTAGGTGAAAATATGCACGTTATCCATATCAACACAAATGATAATCACTCTCAGCGTGACGTCATGCGCGCCGGAAGACGAAAATCGAACAGCGGAGCATCCGGCACTGGTACGGACTGAGAAAGGACGTTTCAGATAATTTGGTGTCCCTATTTCATATAATATGGTGTAAATAAGTCATTCTGCAAATAGGTCGTCATACTCGCGATCGCTGATGCGAAGTAAGTGTAACTTCTGAACTTATGCTCCGGTTGTCAGCCTCTCTGATCTATCTATCTTACACTGTCCAATAAATGAAACCTAAGATGGGGGATTTCCTGACGTTTAGGCTGCTTCGGCAAATTAAAAATTTTTACTCCTCCATCAAGCCGTTTTACTTTACACGGAGGTGGCGCGAACATTTTCGGAAATGAGATATGTTTTTTAGGTCTTATATGACATCTACATCACGAAAAACTATACCACTCATTTCTCTAACCCTTTACCCGTCTATAACATGGAAATTACCCACAGATTTTTTAAGAAATTTCCTCACAAGGTTGCTACTATGCCAAAGCTTTGTAGTTTCAGTTCATGGCGGCGGCGCTATAGGCAAAAAACGAAAAAAATAACAAAAGCTGAAACTCCGTTTTTGACGCTTCAGGGGTTCCTAATCATTGGCATAAAAACATGTAGTGCTTAAAAGGTGGAGGTTAGGGGAAGATGATATTAAATGTTGCACCTTTGATATGTGAAACACGTTCTATTATTAGGAAGCTTCTGGTCCCAGTAATTACAGGAAATTTAAGTGACGAAAATCCGACGCATAATGTGCTCGCGATTTGAAAAAATCGGTACATGCGTTATAGGTTTGACACCGAGAGCCAACAGAACTGCCGACAGTAGCAAAGAATAAATTCGGATATTTATAATGGGGATTATTAGGGCTAGATCGCCAATAGAAATCCGACTGTTATGGAAATTTACCCCGGTACGCGCCCGCAGTTATCCTTTCCTTACAACGTATACAGGGTGTCCCACGTGGAACTGCAACGATCGTTTACTCAAAAAGTGACATAATAGAGTTACGTCGAATGAAATGTATACCATTTACTATACTTTGAAATCATCACAGATACGACTTTTGCGTTTTTGGGATGGCCGTATGATTTCCCTAGCCTCGCTTGTCATTTTACTTCGTAGGCCACCGGTGTAATCGAGAGAAATTTAGAAAATAGTATATTAGGTTTTTTGAATGTTAAATAAAAACACGAGGAATTCACCTGAACAGCTTAGAAAAAGTCGTCAACGATGAACGAAAAATTGCAATGTAATGTAATGAGGTGCGGTGACATTGCGGTGACATTGCAACACTAGGGCTGTAGCTACTCAGGTGTGAAATAACGCTCACCAGTCTTCTGGGAATATCTTAAAGAATCTCATCTATTTTTAGTAGTTTTTGCTTAAGCAATTAATACCAGGGCGTACAAAAGTTGTCCTCGTTTATTAAAAAATGAATCAAACAGTGAATACTGTTCATTCAATCATATTCATTATATCACAAAATCCCGAAATACGTATCGATAAAAAATTAGTACATTTTAAAAAATAAAACAAGCAGACTGCAGCAACTGAAAAGAGGATTTGATTTTGATATCAAGGGCATATCAAATGTCAAAATCCATCAAGCCGTTTGGCCTGTAGCCCGTGAAATAGAATTTTTTGTCTACATACATACGTACCCACGCGCAAAAACATAACCCTTCTTCTGAGAGAATCAAGCAATTGTTCCAACATTGAGAGTTAATTTAGATGAATGAGTTTGATTAATTTTTAATTGATTTTCAGAAACACAACAAGGTCCTCACGAAAAACTCCTCCTCAACAATCTCTTGGCCACCTACAACGTGCTGGAGAGGCCGGTCGCCAATGAGTCTGACCCTCTTGAGGTGAAATTTGGCCTAACGCTTCAGCAAATTATTGATGTGGTCAGTATTCCCCTTTTATCAGTTCTATTTAGCCACTACTGATATATTGTCATTATCTCCAAAGGTATCAGATATGCAATAGGTATTAAAACTAACACTCTACTAAGCTAAAAGTTTTTCATTACTACGAGTACACTGTACAATTCATAGAAATATTCGAAGTTCTAACATGTATGTTCACGGTATTAGAGAGTTTTTAATGCTCTTTGCTGATTCGTTATTTCAACTTTTCGCAGTAACCAGACAATCCTTCGTTCTCGTTATCGAAATCAGAGAGCTCCGGTGGTTACGGAGAATAGAGGAGGGATTATTTCGTACGGCTATTTTTCCATATTCAGCACTGTTGCCGTAATTCCTAAAACTGGCTGAAATAATGAACAATAAGCATATTAGAAATATGAGTTTCAGATCACAGATAAAAATAAATGCAAGGAATGGTTACTGTTCTAAATAAATTCAATTGTCCTGATTTTTGTTGTACTCGTATATGCAATGTGCTGCTGGTTTTGTGCGGCTCTATGATTCTAAACATATTCATTTCTTGCCTGGTTTAGCGTCACGTCAAAATCGAAAAAAAAACAAGCAACCTGTCATCACTGTCAGTACTCAGTACTTTCAAATTACCACAGTGCACTTTAGTAGTCATAAAAACTTTTTAGAACATCCATATTTGATATTCTTTTTTTTACACTAAAAACTCTCTATTGCCTTGACATATCTGTGAAGTTTGAACGACGTCTATCGTTTTATTCCAGGGGTAATCATAAAACATTAGCGGACATAAAACTTTGAAGAGGAGGATCTACCATTCCGTTTTTCTAATATTTGACGAGAAATCTTTGTAGTAGCAGTGGCGCGCTAATTATAGCTACTGTTTGCCGTGGAAAAAACGATCTAATACAACATTTATAGGGTTTTGAAAGCCACCGTAACCACCTCTTTACCAGTCGAAAAGCAACTGAATAACCAAAGACGCCTATACAGGGTGATTCACCAGTCGTGACCAAACATTAAACATCATACACAGGACCGCATTTTAAGGGGGGATCTTCTATGCAACATTTTTTCTTCGAGAGATTCATTAAAAAGATTCGGGGTGTTGAAGTTTAAAAATAAAAAACATTTTTTTTCAATCTTCAAAACCGTCAACTGAAATAAACTAAAATTCGGTATGTGGATTAACCCAAGTATTGCCAACATTCAAAAGTCTTACACCAGTGGCGGAGATACAGGGGATTAGTGGCATTATTTTTCCAAATAAAAATAGTACGCCACTGTTTTTTCGAAACGCGTTACTTTTCGAATTTTTCCTTCGATTTTCTACAAATAATTACTCTTGGGTTTTTTCCTAGAGTACACTGTTTTTGTAAAAATAAAAATGAAGTGCCGAAATACAATTAGTTTCAAAATAAAATAGGAGGGCTTGATACCAACTTGACGTATCTTGGGAGATAGTTTGTCAAAGTTATGTTATCGGTACTGCTACCATTTTTTTGAATAGTCAAGTCAAGAGTTTCTTTTTTCCATTTTTGTGTGTTGTGGAGTAAATACACTGAATGTAGACAATACTTAGGTAAATCCACATACCAAATTTTAGTCCATTCCAATTGACGGTTCTGGAGATATTAAAAAAAATGTTTTTTATTTTTAAACTTCAACACACCCCGTATCTTTTCTCAAGGAAAAAATGTTACATAGAAGAGCCCCCTGTGTATGATGTTTCATTTTTGGTCACGACTTGTGAATCACTCTGTATTGGTTTTAATTTATTAAATATTTTCTACGAACATTAAATAGTAACTTTCAATGAACCGAGTGTAAAAATGCTGGATAAGTTGAAAATCAAGAATGAGATTGGTAATAGGTTGCCTTTTGGCACTTATCAGTGTCTCTGTCAGCTATCGTAAAAATGTCGCTTGAAGGAAGGGAGACTTAATCGAAGGATAGCAACACAGCTGATCCAAGCAAAAAGAACTGCTGAATCTCTCCACATTCTGCTCTTATGAGCCACGACAACTAGCACACCCAGAAAATCTTCAAACACATTTTTGAAGATATGTCTGGCAGTTAATTTCTGCTCCATGCTCGTGATGTAGGAATGATAGTTGTCTATGTCCAGACAAGAGCTTCGATTTGCCACTGGCATTATGATTGAAACTGCCAGCTGAGGAAGTGCTTGCTTTGCTGTTTTAAAAGTACGATAATATATCGCTAAGCTACAGGAGACTTCTCTCATATCACCACCTTCTTCAATAGTTTGGGGTAGTAGGAGCCAAATGGTGCCACAACCTTGGATTATTACCCTTTCTCCGATAAGAGAACAGAACTTAATAAGTCTCAGTTCAAAAACAAATGAAAACTATTAGACTACATACCTTTGCGGTCAGATTAACCTTTTAATATGAACTCGTTCATTTTATATATTCAGTGACATTAGAAGTGTGAAAAATAATTTCCTCAACTTGATTTTTTGGCAATGAGGTAGCATATGAAACGATAACATTCTCACGAAATTTTATTGACAGGAATGAAGAAAAAAAAATTAATAATGTGTTGGGTGACCCCGCAGCTGAATACACTCCTGTATACGTCTAGGCATCGACAAAATGAGATGATCGATGTATGGTTGTTGCACCTCATTTCAAGTAACTCGAACTTCTGGATTAGCTGTGACAGAGTCTGTGGCGGATAGTACAAAGTGGACAGTCGCTTCCGCATCAAGTTCGATGGGATTTAAATCCACGGCAAAACATTAACGCCTACGTGCGTTGTACAATTTCGCGATAGGACAAATCAACATCTCGATAGGCAATAATTCTACCTCTGTCAAAGTCGCTAGCATGGTGATAATTTGGACGTCACTAGTAACTGAAAGGGCAATAAATAAAAATATCTGTACTACTCAGCTCTCAGAAACTGCTTTCTTCACAAAAACTAAGAGATAACATTTTAACAAAGGTAAACAAAAATAAAGATATAACGTTGACATTGTTGCCACAACATGCTTTGAAAATAGTCATTATGTTGCCTAAATAACAAGTTGTAGAAATGTTTTTTCCTGACATAATAATAATAACATCGTGTTTATTTACCAAGGTACAGAAGTGATTCATTATGGCGAAGTTTAGCTAAAGCTATTCTTACACTTAACCATATGAATACGAAAAAAAAAGATGGTATAGGAGATACAAAACAATAAAGTTTTGCTATTGCAATGTCACAATAGTAGCACAAACAGGTAGCTACTTAAATGCCTAGAAACATATGGGCCCATAACTAACTTATACAAATATACAGGGTGTAAACGTTATGATTGTTATTACTCAAATGGGTGATAGAGGGGGTTAAAAGAAGCAAAAAGATTCATATAAGATGGCGGTCAAAACGGCATTTTTTAGAGAAAAGCGACTTTAAAGTAAAATAAAATCTGACAACGCTGTAATGGTAGGCGCAAATTCCGACGGTATTATTTCATTATTTCGTAATGCACTCGTAAAATGCAAACAATTAAAAAAAACGGACTTCCCACTAACTCTCTCAGCGCTTCACCTGGTGTGTGAGAGCTTATTAACGTATTAAAAAAATCCACTTATAAATAGGGAACACAATTTTGATATATACATTGTTTTTCTTTTTAAAACCCACACTGCACTTTTTTGTATTTAAAGAAGGTGTTCGAAATGTCCTGCTCCACTTTCCACACAAGCTTCATTATGACGAACCCAGTTTCTACTTACTCTAGGTCCTCAAAGTTGTCCATTTATTATTTCAGCCGCATTAATTTTTTTTTCCCGAAGTTGTGCTTTAGTTGTTATTGGACCAGCCTCATAAATCACCCCTTTAAGTTCTCCCCAATACCAAAAATCCATCGGATTGAGGTCAGGAGATCTTGCTGGCCATTTTCGAGGATCAGGAGCATTTCGACCGATCCAACGATTTGGATAATGTTCATTCAAGTACTGAATGACGCCTCTAAAAATGTGTGGTGGTGCCCCGTCATGAAGAAACCGAAAATTCTGTCTCCGTTGTAATGGCATGTTGTCTAAGGTCTGTTCCAAAAGTTCTGTTAGGTTATTGGCTAGAAAGCTAAGGTATCCTTCTCCTAACAACTTTGGGGGTAGTAAGATTGTGGTCGATATGAAGCACTTAAAGTTGCAAACTATAAAGCCATTTAGACAAAAATCTATTGACTTTTGGACCATGGGTCATATGAACTTTTTGACTTGTTTTGAGCCCCTTATTACCCATTTCAATTATGACTACCATAACGTTTACACCCTGTATGTATTATTGACAAAAATTAAACAAAGAAAAGAAACATTATAACGTAAACTCTGTAAGTACAATCTAACATGCTTACGGATTCACGGTTTTGTAATAATCAGGAATATTATTATAGCGACATCAGACAGCATTGGGACTTTATATGTAAAATACTGTATACAGTGGTTCTCAGAAGGGTCATCTCACCACCTGCTTTTTGAACATATCAAGTTAAGAAGCTGAAATCCGGGGTGATGGAATTGACACCTTAACACGTTCGCTGCCGCTGGCTCTTATAAGAGCCAAGGTACAATACTGCGCGCACTCAAGGGCACAAATTAGTAAAACGTGATTTAGATGGTAAAAAACAAGTATCCAGAAAAAGATGCTAGTTTTGTAGCAAGAAGGGAATCCGTACCCAAACGATATACGAATGTAGACCATGCCCTGATGTTTCAGGATTCTGCTTGGAGTGCAGTGACGTTATTCACAAATAATTATTTACACCAAAAATAGTCTGCATTACCACTAATTCATGTTTGTATTCTAAAAAAAATTGTATTATTTACCCGTAAAGTTTTTGTTATACTTTTATATGTTCTCTACTATTTTGAGTTACAAAAATTATTTTTAGTATTTTATTTTTGTTAACGGTCGATAATAAATGTTTTTTTGCTTTTAGTTTATTTCTATTATAAAAAACAAATAATTATGTTCCGACTCCTATAAGCCCCAGC